CGAACAGAAAAGGGGAGCAATGAGAGAAGAATTCAGAAGGAGCTGAGCTAAAAGTAACTTTAAGAGTCCATGTCAAATTGTACCACAAAGACTTTGCACTATACTTGCAAAAAAAACCCCCACTTCTCCCATAAGGGACAAAGCTGGTATCAGTCTAGATTGAAAGCAGCAACACAGACATCGTAACTGTGGAAGCTCAGTCATGCTTAATGAAAAGTATTTTTAAAAAGGGAGCCCCAAGGATTTTTCAGAAAGAGGGGCAGGAAGGAAGAAATCTTGAGTGAAGCCAGCACAGGTCAAAGTAACAAGCAATAATGGTTTTCAAAACAATACATACAAAACCACATTGCAGTGGGACAACCTGGTTTAAGTTCATTTTTCTCAGACCGAAGCAGGAATACTGTGGTGTGGAAAGACACCATGTAATATTTCCCTGAAATAACTTTCCCTTAACTGTGTTTTGGTTTACAACCAACTTTCACCCTCCAAGCTGAGGGTAGGTATGCTTAGCCAGTCAAAACTGAACAGTTGAAGTAACCATACTTAATTAAAATTTAGCTCCCAAACCAAAGCACAGAGCTCACTATCTGTGCTCCACCTTGAACAGCAATAGTGTAACCTAGTATAAACAAAGGACAATAAGGAAGCAATTAAAGGTGGAACTTACATTTCATATTCAATGAAGAAAATAACTGACACTGCATAGTCGCCTCCAGCACCTGTTACAGTGTGATCTTGTGCTGCTCTCAAATGCCAATGAACTGATATAGCTAGGAATCCCTCACTAGAGAGAAAAAGCCTGCAACAGTTTCCCAACAGATGCTGCCATGCGCAAAGCAAAAAGTCACTCAGTGTGCTTTAGGCAAGGGCTTTAATTTACAACCACTCTGAAACTGTATTGGGTAGGCCCAGATCCAGGAAGTATTTCAGCTGCAATACAAAATAATAACTTGTTTTCCATCAAAGAGCTTTTCTTTTATATATATATATACACACACACACAAATATAAAGTTCAACTGGCAGTTATTTGTGAAAGAACGATGCCTGCCTAACTATTTGCAAACAATGTTTACATGGCCTTCCAGGTGTAGTAGTCTGGATGGCAGAGGATTCTGATCTCCTAACCCTAACCAGGAAAAAAAAAATATTTTTTTTCTCCCTGGTACACTATTTTTTAAAACACATTCTTTAAATTGTCTGCTGAATGTGCAGTGCAGCATTTTACACTCAGGAACTCACTGTCCAACAGGGTGACTGCAGACTTCTGTCTGTCCTGCAAAGAGAGTACGGTAATCCACAGCTGAGCAATGAAGCTGCTGGGTACAGCCAGTACAGTTGGGTTGGAGGAAGCAGAAAGAAGCAGAGAGAAAGGAGGCACTTCTCACTTTTAACAAGCTCTTTCTTAACACAAGAAAGGAGGCTCAAAGCAGGAGTCAGCCTATATGCCTGCTCGCTGCTAGTTTGATATCTATCTGGTCTGAATGGTAGCCACCATAACCAATTTCCACATATTGTTATTCTTATAAAGATTTGGTTTCAGCCAGCATCTCTGGAATCACCTGAGGCATTTGGACTTTATCTACTTACAGGAGCAACACTGAACAAGTTCTGTGGAGTCAAGGTGGAGAAGGGGAAGAGAGAAGAAGAGAAAAGAAAGGGGGGAAGAGGTGTTTACTAAAGGCAGGACAGATGCGTGAAGCTGACAATTTTGTATTTTTGCCCTGGAACTTAAAATAGCTAACTGAAAGAGAAACTAGAGAAACTTCCACTCATAGAAAATTTGAGGAATCAAAGATAAAAAAGAACAGCCCATAAAAGAGACCTGTGTAGTTGACTGGTATGTCTTAAAAAAATTATAGTAATGATTCTCTCACTTAAGAACATATTGAAGAATTTTATTCTTGGTAATTTTTTTTTTTTTCCCCCAGTATATCCAGTATACAAGCTATTAATCTCACCCATATTTCCTGAGGGCAGCCTGATTATCTTTTAAGCACATACCATGCTGCAAGTGCACCTGTATTTGGACATCACTACTGTAACAGCTGTGACCTCAGATGATACTTAGAAACATGCAAACACATTCTGCTGAACACATTTATCAAACATGTTTCTCTGAAAGTGCCATGAAGAAATAACAAAGAGGTTATTCCTAACCAAATGTTCTTACTAAAAGGGAAGGAAAAAATACACTCTTTGCATATTCCTAGAGAGAAAAGAAGTGCTTTTTGCTATCAACAGCATGGTCTTCCAGTCTATTGCTACTGCTGATAACCACCAAAAGAATGACGTGCCTCTTCTGAGAAGCCCAGTCAGCATCAACAGAACTACAGCACTGGTGAAGAAGAGTTACAATGGATGGGCATAAGTTAAAACTTTTTTAAGCAGACTGAATAAAAAGGACAACTTACCCAAACCTCTCTTATTTATCTCCAAATTAGTCAATTTAGCAGCAAAATCTGAACATTGAGATCAAAATATATTGGTTTTTATATAAATGCACCGCGTTTTATATAAATCTGGTTACTTGTATGTACTTCTCCCATTCCCCTTGAATTACAACTGTAGATCGTTTATGCAAAAAAGTAACTACCAACTAAGCAGACTGAAATACTCTAGATTTTCATTTCATGAAACTCAATTTGAGCTACAAGTTCAGAGGTGTAAACCAACCACTAATTTTTCTGGTTCCATGACTCGCTACTGCCTAAGGGAATCAAATACACGATCTGATCGACACTGACCAAAACCAACCTTGATCAGCCCTCTCCAGGCTCAAGTTTAGTATAAAAAGATGGTTATATTTTGCCAATCATGCAAGCCAGCACTATGGCATTTCCCTACTACTGTCCCCACAGTGGCTGTCCCTGCTTGTTGTACAGGGGTTGGATTAGATGGCCTTTAGAGGTCACTTCCATCCCAATACATTCTATGACTCACAAAGGCCAACTTCACTGCAAGAGAATTCACACATTATTCTAAGAGTTAAGAGTCTGAAAAAGCTGTACTTGAATATCTAAACTACTGTAGTCCTTCAAGAAACAAATGTTTTCAAAGTTCTTATCGAGAAGAACACAGACATATCAGTTGTGGAAAGAAACAGATGTGATCTGTGCTATATAAAACCTACAACTAACCCCTGCAGAAGGAAAGGTGAGGAAAAGGTGTTGTAATTTTTATCTTTGTTACTCACTATCTAATTCTATCTTAACTGTCAATAAGTTAAATTTTGCCCCAAGTCATGTCTGTTTTTTTCAGTTTGACTGTTTTGATAGTAGCTGGCAATGGATCTCCCTGGCTTTACCTTGCCCTGTGAGCTTTTCCATTTTATTTTCTCCTTCTGTCCTGTTGAGGAGGGGCAGCGAGCAAGAAGCTGGCTGGGCAGCTGGCTAAGGTCAACTCACCACAGTAGGGTATTGGAAGAGAGTGGCAGTCTTACTTTAACCAAAAAAAGAAAAAAACAACCCACAACCCTACCGATACAAGAAAGCTTTCAAAAGCTTTTCAAAAGGTTTTTCACCACAGCTTGGACCACTGACATTTTAAGGTAAAACAGATGCCTTATTTCTATAGTAAGCCATCAGAATGTGTGTATTTTTAATCTGTATACCATGACAGTCAGAACACCCCTACCATGAGCTGTCAGTGAATGGGAAAGCATTCCCCACAGAATGGGAAGGCATTTAGAGGACAACCCTTCCCTTCACTGCATCAAGTTTATGACGCCTTTGAGTAATATACATGAAATTAGCCAACCCTAAGGAAAAAAAAAAACAAAACTACACTACCTCCACTCCTCTCACAAGCAGCTATTGTAGTAGCCTTTGTGATAAAATCAGCTGCATTTTAATCCAGTGTAAACAATAACATTCAAAAGGGCCAGCAGCAGAAGTAGGACAAAACCATTTTCTAACTCTGAAATAGTTAGGAGCACAATTCTAGTGCTCACTACAGCACAGAGCCACTCTCAACCTACAAAGCTTATACTCCTGATATATAATTCGCTCTCCTCTCATGTACTATTTATTATAGTTTCTTTCCTGCAGAAATAGCTTCCTCTAGTCAAAAAGACTTCCCTCTTCTATTTTTTGAAGAAGGCAGACTATAGGTACAAAAAAACCCCAAATTTCTCACCACAAGGAATTGAGCATTACTGGTTTGAACTATCATGTCTATCCAACAGTACAGTTCAGGAAGTAACAGAAGCTGAAAATAATAGTTCACTTTAAATATCAGTTGGGAGTCACACAGATTACAAACAAAACTTATCTGACACTTTGGGGAGCCAACACCAGCCATGTTAGGAAACATAAACCTTTTTATTTTTTGACCAGTTTAATTTTCTGTTTAGTTAGGAGTCAAAAGAGCACCACAATCAGAAGAAAGAAAAAAGGCAAGAGCAGAAGAGCTCCATTTTGACACAGCACATTATGAAACAAAATCCACCTCCATCAAAGTAATCTCTCTAAATAGATGCATTACTCTGGCATTTGGAAGATTCGCAGTGTCTGAACTGCTCTCAAGTACACCAGAGGACAAAAAAATTTCAAAAAAAAAAAAAAAAAAAAGAAAACCAAACAGGCACTAGACTCTCAGTCAGAATAGGGACAGCTTTTTAGCTGACCTTCTAGTTAGTTTATGAAGACTGTAAACAAAATTAGAAATAGCAGCATTGGCTTTACCCCACTCCTCAGTCCAGCTCCTTTAAACAAACACACCAGGCATACCAAACAAAAGGACACTGCCAAGCCTCTCTTGTAATAACATGTCCAGTTATGAAGTTTAATTTCAAAAGGCTGCAACAGATTTAAGTCCTCCTTTGAAGGCTTTGACATTACATTCCTTTAAGCTTTTAAGAAATCACTTACAACTGTATTTAATCCAAAACATGAACACCTGAAAACAGCATAGTTCTGTGACAATATGAAGTTTGAATTCCATTTTCATCACTGTGATATAAGAAAAAAAGAATAAGGAAAAAAAAACTAAAAATCCATACCTTTTCTTGGAGGTAGTTCACCACTTTGTGTTAATTCTGTTCCAGGATATACGATTTCCCCATCTTTTACCATCTCATTCCACAGGCCACACAGTCCATCTCGTGTAAAAGCGAGCTGTTAAAAATAATATATTACATATAGTTATAAAACCAAATTTTCTCTCAAGCCAACTCAAGCTAACATTTAAAATACAACAGATTTTATATTATGTCCTAGAAGAAAGGAAGCACATGTATGAGCTTACTATATGCATCTATTATATAGTGAGACTCTGGAATAGATTGCCCAGAGAGGCTGTGGATGCCCTTCCTTGGAGGTGTTTAAGGCCAGGTTGGATGAGGCCTTGAGCAACCTGGTCTAGTTGAGAGGTGTCCCTGCCCATGGCAGGGAGGTTGGATTAGATGATCTCTAGTGTCCCTTCCAACCTAAGCCATTCTATGGCACAAGAATTTTTATATATATATATAATAATATTGTACATTCATATACACAATTATACATATGTAATATAATAACAATAATGTATATTCTTCATGCATAAGACAGAGATAAATGATCTTCAGGATCCAATTCTCCAGCTGTGCTTTCAGAGCAAAAGCACAAAACAGCAACTTTTAGCTAGGCTCAAATACAACAAGTTGAACTTTCCTTTGGCAAAAAATTATCAGCAAAAGCACAGACTGGGTCACCTGAGGATTATCCACACACTCAAAATGACAATATTCAATAATTAGGGGAAGTATGGGGTGGGGTATCCTTTTTCTCTCAGGAAAACCTATCCAAATAAAGTCAAGGTGCACAAAGTCACAAAGGAGGGGAGTATGAAGACGTTCAATGCAGACCCCTCTCCAAACCAGCAGCTGTAGAGCAGGGCACGCAACCAGAACACACAACATCAAGGCACAGATTCATAAATGCATTTAACCAATTCTAACTGGTCCTGCTGTACAAAGCACCTCTCACAGCCCTCCCTCTTCCATCCAGCTGCCACAATGCCTCCTCCCAGACACAGGTTAATGCATTTGTGGGATCATTTGCTCAAGCAGAGCATGGAACCCACCACAACTAGAACCCGCTGCGCCTGGGGGAAGAGTCAGTTCCACACACCATGTGTACAAGAGGAGCAATATGGGCAACAGAAGGAATGGCAGGACTGTGCTAGCTGGCAGCACCAAGGCGCTCGCTGCAACACGGCACCTCATGACTTATGAACCTGGATCTCCCTTGAAGAGCCCTAGTGACCAGAGTAACTTGTCTTCTGCTGACCCTCTGCTTTATAAAACACTGCAAAACAGGCGTCAACATCCCAAGCGAGTTCTTGAATAATCAGACTGTAATTTGCAGTTGTATAGCATAAGGCAGGAGAGGCCTACATGAACAACAGAATACCTTCAGCACACCCAAGTACTGCAGTGGGGGCATTTCCTCATCATTACGTTATGTTACTAGTATTCAAATCCACAGCATTTTAACTGAGTAATACAAAGATGTTAGTTAGACAACTGGAGTAAAATATTCACCATTATACACAGAAGTCTGCTTCTTCTTTGTTTGGATCGACATCCTAAAGATACTTTTATTGATTAAAGATCAGAGGTTTTAAGAGTCCCAGCCACCAGCCGGGAAGCCATTTGCTGATCTAGCTGATCTCAGTTAACACCAAGAGCTAAAGACAGGCTGCATGTTTTGACATCACTGTAACACACCAAATTACCATAGCAGTTCCTTGACTTCATACTGCGTACTTCAGAAATTCACCCCAGCATGCATTAATGATTTAAGTCGGTTTTCTTTCAGCATAAAATGACTTGACACATTGTACATATTTGTCACTTGCTATTTCCTGGCCTCAGGGGGTAAGGTGGAAAAAAAATCACACTATGTGACCTAGACATTATTTAATTTATCTAGGATTTATCAGCTGTGCAGCACCAGAACTACACTGTGACCATGCTTTAGGTATAGTCCCTGTTCTTCAGAGCCAAATAGCACATACAGCTACTGCCAAGATTCAGTGTTTTGATAAAAGCTTTACGTTTGCTTTAATTTTTTTAAAGACTGAAATAGTCTGAAGTTGCATTTCAACAGTGAAAGATAAATTATAAAAGAAAAAATCAACTATTCACTATTGACTGATTTTTTTTTTTTTTTGTACTGTTCTCAAGTCTATTAATATTTTAAAAAATAAATGGTGTTCACTTTCTCCTTCATCAGATGAGGTCATATACTTCAGTGGAGCACTTAATTTACTTTTTACTATTTTTTTCTTGCAAAAATAGTTAAAACACAACTGTTTCACTATTATTGGCTCATATGTGATAGAAGATTTAAAAAAAAAATAAATTCATCTGTTGAATGCTAATCTATGCTAAAATACAAGCTTAAAAATAGTGAGTGAGGCAACCCTCCAGATGGGTTGCATTATCATTGGTTTTATGGTTTTCACCAAGTTAAGATGTTTATCTGATAAACTGTCTTCTTATACATTTTATTTTACATTCTTGGATCACCTTGGCATAGCAAATGATTCTTACAGCCCCTAAACTTACAATACAGAGGCTTTGAATTCAAGGTCCTTCATAAAGCAGCACTGTTTTATTTCAGAAAACTTACTATTTTTGTAAGCATTGCTGTAAAATAGAACCAAGAATAGTTTTCACTGTTTTAACCTCTAAATCTTTCAGATGGCACAAAGTTCATAGAAGTCTTTCAAGCAACTAAAAACTGAAAAAGTAAACAAAATTTTTTTGCCTTGGGCTTGGTCTTCAAAGTCTTATCAAAGTCATTTTCCCTGTATGTTGCCTGAAGATAGAGCAAGCACCAAAAGATTATAGGTCAGAGAGAGTTCCCCCTCCTTCTCCAAATACCTCATGTGGAAGCTTACTCCACAAGTAGCCTTCAGATAAACGATTCTACTTTTATTCAGGATGTACTTAACATTTTGTGTATATGGTGAAGGAGGGGGGAAAGAAAGAGACATGTTTGAAAATAAATGAACACTGGACTTGCTTTTTTAGCAATAATCAAAGCAACCAAATGAAAGGACAATTAAGAAGCAGTATTTACAACTAATTCAGCTGTCATAACTGAGGACAACTCAATATCAACTGTAACAGGTTCACTATTTGACATTCAGCAGACACATTAAACAGTGCATTGCCACTATGACAACCAAAAGTGAAAGAAAAGTCTAAGTTTAAGTGACAAAATTATTCAAGCAATTTTATTTTCATGATCCCAAAATTCTATAATCATAATAGAAGCTTCACAAGTCTCTTAGGAGAAATATTTCACTTAACCAACAGCAACAGGGAGGAGTGGTTGACACACCAGAGGGTCATGCTGCCATCCACAAGGACCTCGACAGGATGAAGAAATGGGCTTAGAGGAACCTCATGAAGTTCAACAAGGAGAAATGCAAAGTTCTGCACCTGGGGAGGAACAACCCCAGGCACCAGCACACACTGGACGTAATCCATCTGGAAAGCAGCTTTGAGAAAAGAACTTGGGTGTTCTGATGGGCACCAAGTTGAACATAAGACAGCAATGTGTCCTTGCCATGAAGAAGGTTGATGGGTGTCCTGGGTTGCACCAGGAGGAGTGCTGCCAGCAGTTTGAGGGAGGTGATTCTTCCCCTCTGTTCACAACTGGTGAGGCCACAGCTGGAGTGCTGGGTCCAGTGCTTGGTTCCCCAGTACTAGAGACACAGATATACTAGAGAGTACAGTGAAGGGCCACAAAGATAATTAAGGAACTGGAACATCTCTCCTGTGAGCAAAGGGGCTGAACAGCTGGGGCTGTTCAGCCTCAAGAAGAGAAAGCTCATCAATGTACATATATATCTGAAGGGAAGGTTTAAAGAAGATGGAGCCCAGAAGACAGATTTCCCTCAGTGCTGCCCAGTGGCAGGATGAGACACAGTGGGAACAAACTATAACACAGGAGCAGCAAAGGGAGCTTTCTCTTCTTCTCAAGAAGAGAAAGCTCATCAATGTACATATATATCTGAAGGGAAGGTTTAAAGAAGATGGAGCCCAGAAGACAGATTTCCCTCACTGCTGCCCAGTGGCAGGATGAGACACAGTGGGAACAAACTATAACACAGGAGCTTCCCTCTGCTCATCAGGAAACTTTTTTCACTGTGAGGGTGACCAAGGAGTGGCACAGGCTGCCCAGGGAGATTGTGGAGTCTCCATCCTTGGAGATATTCAAAAGCCATTTGGGCATGGTCCTGGGCAGCTGACTCTAGGTGGCCCTGCTTCATCAGGGAGGTTGGACCAGATGACCTTCAGAGGTATCTTCCAACCTCAACCACTTGTGATTCTGTGAAATCAGCAGCTGAAGATAATAGTAAGTCAACTGTATGGTACAAAAGCCAAACAGTCAAACACCTGCCCTAACTACACAATCTCACTTTTCTTTCTTCCTATTTTAAGCCTATCTTAGCCAGCACAGGCACATACTACTTTCTTCTTTTGCTCCCACCAATACTTCTTGTATTCAATCATTTGCAAGGAGTCTATAAACACATCAAAGTACTGAGACAGAAGGAGAACTTTGTTCACAACAAATTTGGAAAATGTTTCTCTTTGGTTTCTGTTTTCCAAGAACTACGACACTCTCAAAAACACAGCTCCTCTTCCACTCAGCTCTTTAAAGAAAGTGCACAAGGCAATCGGTGGTGCAGAGCAAGAGAAGAAAAACACATTTGGTGCCTTCATTGCTTTTGACATACTGCAGCTGCAAGTACCAACCTGTCAACAGCACCAGAGATGTACACTCTCTAAAAAACCCCTAAAGACCCCAAGTCCCTGCTTGCCTCACCACCCACACGCTGCCTTCCCAAGACTGAGACAACAGCAGCCCCATGCTCCATCACCATTCCATCACCATTATGCACTGCCTTACAGCCTTAGCCCATGTCTTTAACCCTCCTATTAATTCCACCAAATCAAGTGCCCTTCCCCATGCCCAAAATCTCCCTTGTTCTTCCCATGGCGTCTCCTGAACTCCTCTCAGATAAGATCGCAGCCACATACCCTCATCTCCTATACACCCAACCTTCACAAACCACAAGTCCCTTCCCACTATTTGTCACATATTCTCAGGCCCAG